ATCTGCTTGTTTTTGGACTCCCACTTTCCCCCGACTTCTCTCTACTGGCGAAAACCCCCTTTGGAGTGACAATTTCACGCTCCAGGGATGCAGACAACGTCTTTACACCCTCACGGGACAAGTGTACTCCGTCACCACTGTACAGGTAGTCATTGCCAGCTATCAATGAATGCCCAACCATTGTTTGCACAATGTTTTTCCAGTCGGCAATTTATAGCAATTGCCCTGGACAGCCAACCACGACCAACCCCTCTTCTAGGCAAGACACCACATACTATCGGGATCCCTCCCCTATCTCTGATCTTCCCCAGCGCCTCCCTATACCTCTTGAAAAGCTCCTCACTCCTAACCTTTCCTATGTCGTTTCCTCCCACACTAAGACACTACTGGATTGGTACCCTCCCCTGACAAAACCCTGTCTAACCTCTCAGCTACATGCCATATCCCAGCCCCAGGAAAACACACCATAGTCCTATGTTTCCTATCTCTCGCATGTCACACCGGCTTCAGGAATTATGAAAGTATGAGATCAGAAGGATATGCTTACAAAAACCGAAGAATCAAAGAAAAAATGGCAATGATGATGCCCCGACCACCTATGACAGGCAACAAAACGCTGAAGCAATATTGTGTATAGTACAGTACATCTACAAGAAAAATGAGCAGGACACTACAAACTTAAAGAATAATATTTCTTTTCAGGACTTGAAAATTTTTCAAGAAATAATGGCCACCCTCTGTTCTATATAATTGTGTTACAAGTGTACAGCATTTCTGGATTTCTTATCTGCACTATGCTCCCCTCCCTCTTGTACTATTTCCTATGCATCTTAGATACTCTAGCAAATAAGCTGCAGATCTATGCCTAATGTTTGTTAGTTTGATTCTGCTAAAAATCAGACAGTTCAGCATTTTTAATAAGTTGCCATAAGCATGGAGGCAATGACAAGGGGCAAATGTCATTACCTCACTTCATATTCCTGTCAAATGTTTATCAAAGCCGTTTTCAGATTCATAAATGCCACAAGCTCCTACCCTTCTCCAAAACTTTTCAAATTTGGTCCTTAATGCAAGCAATTAGTCTGTCTACAGGATCATTGAGACAACACTGCTCTTCCCATAATGCATTCCATTTGTTAGTTTCTCCCAATATTGACAGCCATACATGACCTGTTGTAGTACAGCACACATTTGCTTCTATTCCTGGCACCTTTCCAGTGTTATGCTTTCTTACAGGCTGTTTGACTTCCCTATTCTTACACTTTAATGCTCGTCTTAACCTTTATATATCCTAGTTCCCTGCGACTATGAAACACTTGCTGGTGGACTTAGTCTTGGGGACATTAAGAGGGATATACTGTACTAAATTATATTTTGTTTAATATCTCCGTACATATAGGTACTCCTGAACATGCCGATTCCAAATCTATGATCCACGATTTGTTTGCTGGGTAATTAGTGGACTTTATGATATTTGAAATATTTTAATTGCTCGCCAACTACCCTGTATGGGTTTCCAAGGTGCGATTTTGGCCTTGTTATTCTGAAGTACTTTATTAGTTAAACCCTTACTGTACAATTCTAGCAATGCTCCAGGAATCAAGGAGAGGATGGCCTATCCTTGGAGCAGAGGATGAGATTTCCAAGTTCCTCCTTCAGACAATACAAGGTAATTTTATCTTTTAACAATAGTTGCCAGTACTGTATATAGTATACAGTATTTTATCAATAATTTGATATTTCCAATAAAAGGAGCCCTTATTAAGTGATTATGGTGTCAACTGCTATACCAGATGTACTGTATACAGGACAAACTAAAACTTTTGAACCCTTCTGAAATCAAGGGCTAAGAAAAACTGGTAATTTAAGTTTACAAGTACAGTAGTTAGCACTCCTTTCCTAGCAAAATCAGCAAATTGGTTTAGGGTCTTTACCAAATTACCAAACAAACAAAGGCAATAAGGCCATGACCTAATGCACTTGTATACATTCAAAGTACTTAATGAATTTTTTTTTTAACTTTTATAACAGTATCTTTCACCACCTGCAAATGGTGGATTATTTTTCAGTGAAATAAGCAATTGATAAATTATGCACTTAGTTTTAAGAATGTTAAAGTACTTTTAAAACAGTTGTGCACATGAACCAGCAATTTGAAGACTTTACTCCAGAGTAAACACTTATGAGGTTTCATACCCTTTTGTACAGTTTTCTTTTACATATTTTAGGTTAGGTTTTGTGGATTTAGGGTGGTGGTTATAGATAAGAAGTTACAGTACCAGAGTAGGCCAACTAGTGGAAATGTTAACCAAGTTCCAGAAACATTGACCATAAAGTAAATAAAATCCAACTTTTGTTTTCTCCTAAATAAAAAAAATGGTGTCCGTGAAAGAAACCTTCAAACAAAGGTTCTAATCATTCCAAGAGGTCAGCCATAGAGGTGTGATCATGGGAAAATTCAAAATTTGTCACCTGAAGAATCACTACCCCACCTTATTTAACCTAAGATTAACCACCCTATTGCTATATGGGAGAATGAGGTTAGGTTGGTTAATCTTTTGTCAAAATAAGCTGGGGTGGAGTACAGGTGATCCCATATTATATTATGAGAAGCATTTCCCTTGTCCAAGTTTTGCCCCTCTCTCAAGGTAAGAAAGCATCTTCCATGTAGAAATGGTCATTTACTGGTTTTGGTGCAGAACCACTTAGTATTACATTATGAATTTAGATAGCTTTTCATATCCCAGTAATTTTACCTATTGTTAGATAGTAACCTGTTGTTTCTTGCCCACACATGTCCACGTGTACTGGTATTGAAGAGACTAAGCTCATGCATCGTTTTTTTTTTTTTACTTTAAATAATTGTGAGTGCTTTCATCAGATCTGCTTACTTGAAGTACAATGAAGAGTAACTTTGTACAGCGTTTATAGGGTATACAATATATTCACGTGGATGAAAGTTCCTGAGGATAGGGTTGCCAAAATATTTTTTGGACAACATTTTAGGTTGGGTTAGGTACGTTAGTTTAGTTTAATTTATAATAAAGAAATTAAGTAGCAGCTATGCTGCCAGTTTCTGGTAAAAAATGTAATTCGTCGCCAAGGTCCAAGAATATTCGTTAAAAAATTACCCAAAATAACATCTCATTAAATAAGATTATCCTATAGCTCTAGAGATCCCCATAAGGGTAGTTCAGTGTTGCTCCTGGGGTTATGTATTACCTACACAAACGGTTATTTCACAGTTCCAACACCAGAGCCATAAACTACAAGCAACTCCAGGGGGTCCGACTAATTACCCAAATGTAGCCGCAATGAAGTCAAATGATGGTCCTACAAGAATAAATCGGAATGCCAATCATTTCTCGACTGGTATTTGGTGTCGCCAAGTCAAAAAATTGGTACACTTCATTTAATCTGAGTTAATAGATCGAGTGCATGTACCTAACCTAACAACTCGGATTAAATTAAGTTTACCAATTTTTTGTGACTGACACCAAATAATAATCGAGAAGTGATTCACAGCCCGATTTACGCTTGTAGGACCATCATTTGACTTCATTGCAACTACATTTGGGTAATTGCTCGCTCCCTCGGTACATGCACGCGATATATTAACTCAGATTAAAGTAAGTTCTCCAATTTTTTGTGACCAAATGCTAGTCGAGAAGTGATTGGCAGTCCGATTTATTCATGGAGGACCATTATTTGACTTCATTGCGGCTACATTTGGGTAATTAGTCGGACCGACTCCAGGGTAATTGTCTGGAGTTTTACTAGACAATACATAACTGGAAGAGAAGCACAAAAAGGACAACTAGCTCAGATAACATCCAAGAAGCCACTGCTTCCCATGATTATACAAAGAAACCACTGGTACTGTACTACCCTTTTATGCATATCCTGCTCAGTGGTTAATTTCTGTGATAAAAATCAATATTACTTGATAGTTTTCATTCCTCAACACTGAAGAAAACCGAACATTATCTCGCACTTTCTGCATCAAATTGAATTTGTTTCCACCAAATTTAGATTCTACATATTAAAATAAATGTCAAAATTCAAAGCAAACGGACCATTAGTAAGTCTGGTCACTCACGAAATTTCAAGTACACTACCAAATGTTTTAATTAAATCATCCAAACCTCAAGAACATTACCCACTTATGACAGCCCAATCAAGATTTCTCCTGAACAAGACAAAGGTATGCATCATGCAATACTGTCACAGCGCCACTAATACATGCACGGCTTATAAAATTACTTGCACTCAAACTTAGCAATAGTAGGTCCATAATCCCTTCCTGTACAAGTTCACACCCTTAGCTCCTACAAACGCTGCCAACACACACTGATGCACCCTACAACTTAGCCAATTCAGCATAACCCAAATGATATACTACCTACAATACGGTTTTCTTATCATAAATAGGATAAAATTAGAGGCCTGCATTTAATGCACCTCGTATCCCTCACGCACCAATAATTATTTTGAAATAGCCAACAGACAGACAGACAGACAGCGTCAGTGTGTCGGGGCCGAGGCAGTGAACCCTGGCGCTCACAGCCACAATATTCATATCTAACCATTGTTAGAGCGGGAGGGAGAGAAAGGTGGTGGCGCCAATAGGACAAAAGAAACTTGGGGACGGCCTACCACTGCCCATATGCCCCTCTAGCATGCAGGCACCTCGTGTGAAGTGTCATACATCACAGCAATAATATAATTATACTAGCTTCTGCACCACCACTGTAACACATTCACACAAACATCTGGAGTAACTAATATTAAAAGTATCACAAAGCCAGTATATCCAGTACTTTACCAAATACACACGAATTGTTCAACACACCGGTAGTCTTGACTGTCACGGCTTTCGCCGGCATCTTGTCCTTCCCTAACATAAATACAATGAGTTTAAGGTCAATGTTTCCACACAAACTACAATCTGCAGCCTCGTAAGCGTAAGACCAAGTTGGTGGATATCCAGGAGAACTCACCATTGTGCTTTAGGCTACACTCGAATCGACACAGGTCAGGGCGGACTACACACTCCTCGCCGCCAGGTCTTGAAGGGGCGTAGTGTGAGCGGTGACGTCATGTGTTCCTCCGCGCGCCGCCGGCATCAACTGTGTCGCATCCGCTGATTGGCGGAGCCGCCGCGGCCCTCACCCCCCCACCACCACTCATAACGCTCCTTTCACGCTAGCAAATGTCACCATTTTGGATATATTTCCACCATCTTCTTATTTCATTGAATTCCTAAGTGTTTAATTTGTATGTCTGAACTTCCTGTAATAATATGGGAATTAGATGCGATAATTTTTTATAATCTAAAGTAGGGTTGTAGAGGAACTACTTTTCCGGCACTCCCAGGTGTATTTGGCGACACTGGCAGGCGAGGGAGAAAATCTCCTCACTCTAGTGACGTTGTCGCCTCATTTTCCTCCTACTTGTTTTCCCCCAACTCTAATAAACACACATCAATACGCTAAATAAATTGAGATGAAAAGAAGCTCCATCGCTAAATATAAACAAGTTTAACGTTAGGTGTAGAGAGAGGAGCACATAGGCCAATCAAGGTTTGAACCAGAGGATATTGCCATATATGGTCAAGTTGGAATTTCGTCTGCTCCCTCCTTACAATGGGAACAATGATGTATCGATTGGTTGACAAGCTTTATAAGGTATGCTTGGCGTTTTTATTGATGACATAAGTAGTAATTTGGCTCTGGTAGCGATAGAAAGTGTCATATGTCGTCCTTGAAGGTTGCCATGCTTGAAAAATTTGTATTGGTCATGTCAGTCCCATGTTGGATGAGTCATTCACTGCGGCCACACATGTTGGTGTAATTGACTAACGTCTAATGTCTGCATCTCTCACTTTTCTCACTTATAAAGAGTTTTAAATACACGTGTTGAGAAGAACATTTGTTGTTTGTGAGTCATAGAAGGTAACTTGTCATGAGCAAAGGTTCTGGAGTTGATAATGGCTGTGATTAGGGTTGTCACTCATATTTGACTGCAGTTACGTCTAAGTACCTTTACCTACCTTTCTTTAAGTCTCAAACATATTTTTAGTTATAGTTTAATGCGAGAGGTAGTGAGGGGGAGCATCACAGCTGTCAGATGGGGGTTTTATTTCGCAATTCCAAATAGAAAGCTTTAGAAATATTGAGTACTTACCGCGCTAGAGGGACATAAGCGTCACACCTTGTGCCGCCACCGTACGTCACATTTTACGGCCGTTAGGAATGTGCTGAGTGTTTTTTCTTTTCTTTAATATATTACATAGAATTTAAGTTATTTACATATTTGTCTTGTTGACATTTAGCCAACTGGTGTCAACGAACTTCAGGAGGTCAATGAACATGGTCGTATAGCCATGGCACCATTGTGAGTTTGACGCAGGTGACAGCTAGACGCGACTAGGAATGACAGCTACATCATGTCAGGAGTAATGGTAGCATAGCCATATTTATCCCATTGATTTACCTATCTGCGTGAGTCACTCAATACCATGGCAAAATACAGAAATGAGTTATGGAAAGTTTAAATGTAATATCACCGAATATTCCTTTAAATAAGGATGTAAACATGTAGTATTGAATAACCAGATACGAATGAGTTTTATTTAATTAGGAATCAAGCACAGTGACGTTAACTGAAGGATTCATCTAACCTAACTTAACCACATCTCCATTACCTTATGTATTCTAACCTAAGCACCCCTCACCTTATTTAGCTTGACCTAATTTAACCTGCCTAACCTAACCTAAACTCATTTCCAGACGTGTCCATCGCCTCAGTTACATTCAAGTAAATGAGTTAAGGAAAAAAATTTGTGAAAGTGTTATATTCAAATACTACACCGTATTTTTCTATCCATCAAAAATTATCCTGATTTTCGAAATTAAACCAAATGTATCACAAAGACTTTCGGCTTTGAATAGATTGGCTTAATTCATGTCTTTCAATGTATTTATGAATTTATATAATAATTTGTACGTGTAAGTGTAATAAGGCTACGTAGTGTGAGCTGTTTACAGTAGGTCAAGCTGTATTTTGTCATTTTCTCTTCCCGGGATAACTGTTTGGCTCTTTTACATATCAACAACTCTTTGAAATTGTTCCCCACAATCTCTCCTCACTCTTGCAACACTTGTTTTAATGTATTACTGCACTCCAGCAAATATGCTCATGAGACGTGTATTCTGCGTCATTAACATTTAAAAATAATTAGATATAACGCTAATTAAATGTAGAGCCAATCATATTACTGAATTAAAGCAGTTACTTACCATGCCATAGTGCGCACCATGAACTTAGATACTATATTTATTTAGTATATATAATCATACGAGTGCATGTTCACATTGTCTTAGCACGTGTATGTACCTAGACAGTGCAGGTAAGCAAACAATGGTATTGGAGGTGCTACTATGACAATGCTTATGACAGATACTTAGCATACAGTACATTGTGGTTTGAGAAGAGGATTGGCAAATGCTGGAGGGACATGATACACTGTAACACTGTGTAACAATTAGGAGATAATACACTTTAACAATGTAATAGTATATCTCTCCCAACCCAGATTACTTTATTGACAGATTCAGAACTGACAGGTTAGGATAACTTAAGATGGATTGCATTAGGTTAGGTTAAGGTTAGGTTACATTAGATTTGGTTAGGTTAAGGCTAGATTACATAAGATTATATTAGTTTAAGTTAGGATAAGGCTGGATTAGGTTAGAATTATTATCAGTTTAAGTTAAGTTAGGTTACGTTAGATTAGCTTAAGGTTAGATTTGAATAGATTGTCTCAGTTCAAGTTAGGTTAGGTTTAGGCTTGATTAGGTTAGATTATATCAGTTTGGTTAGGTTAAGGATGGATTAAGTCATATTATACCAAGTTAGGTTAGGTGCTTTGGGGTGCCGGTACACTCTAAGCCACCTGTGTGAACCATTCAGGTCAGCGCAGGTACATTTACATATCTAATTAGAGATCGGGACCAAGGTGTGGCGAGTGTCACGGTGACCACTGAACCCAGCGTCAACTGGTCACTCAAATGGTCACTTAAACCATTGAGTGCGATAGCAAAAATCTGAGTACAGTACTTGATAAGTGAAATAATTGAGAGTAAGATAGTTTAACCACTTGAGTACCATAGCAAAAACCTGAGTACTTGATTAGTGAATTGAGAGTACGATAGTTTAACCCCTTGAATACGATGTTAGAGAACAGTAGTTTGGGATAGGAGACAAAGCGTGTTTATTGATCAGCATCGTCCCACTCTGGTCCTCCGGGTGTTCAATCCACGCTTGCAGCACACTGGAGTTATTGATTTTTTTTGGTTGGTGTACAGTATGTGTATGTGTGTGTGTGTATGATTGAATTTTATATTCTTAGAACGGGCGAATTGGTGTTAACTTCAAGGGTACGATAATTTGGTCCTGAAATACGATAATCTGGCCTGACTATGATGTCAATCCCTTGAGTACGATACTTTGAGCTGACTGATGCCAATCTCTTGAGTACGATTATTTAACCCCCGGAGTATGATATATGATCTGACTGTTACCAATCTCTTGAATACGATTTAACCCCCGGAGTACGATGATTTGATCTGGCTATAATGTCAATCCATTGAGTACGATGATTTGACCCTTTGAGTACGATGCCAACCTCATGAATATATTCAGGGGGTTGGCAACGTACTAAGGGATTGGCATCGTACTCAGTGGGTTGGCATCGTACTAACGGGGTTAAATAATCGTACTCGAGGTTAAATCATTGTACTCACGGCGTTAAATCGTACTCATGGGGTTAAATAGTCGCACAGGGGGTTGGCATCGTACTCTAGGGTCGGCATTGTACTCAGGGGGTCAGTTGATATCATACTGTACTCAAAAGGTCAATAAGGCTTTAGAGGAGAAGTTGAACACTGACCAAGGAACATCTTCTTTAGTTTTTGAGCGAGTAGGTCAAAGGTTAATACCAGGAGGGTGGGGTGGTGGACTACCTGGGTCATACCCCTGGCGTCAAGTGTCGAACGATTTATTTGGGAGGTGACGAGGCTAGCAGTTGTTGATGGTGTAATTCTGTACGTATGTTAAATAATTTAAGTATATACTCGATATATGCGCTACTAAATACGCATGGTATTATACACAACACCAATGACATGATGTAGGCTACATGATACATTAAGTATACTATACTACATGATATACGGGACACCACATCAGTATACATGACGCAACTTCAAGTATACGTGACATACACCATCAAGTATACATAAAATACCTACACTATTTTGTTATTATCATTATTGTATAGTGTATACTAACCATTTAGATATAGTTTTCTTATACTGTAATAATCACAAACATACATTTTATTTTGTTGGATGTTATTTCCTAAAACATCGCTCACTAACGTAGATGTAATGCATTATTTAAATGATTTATTCTTATATCCATTGTTCTCCTTTATATTGAAAAACTAAATATGTGACGACGAAATTATTATTGAGAAACATGTATGTTTAGGTTGGAGGACTGTGGTCGCCAACCCTCAGATATAAGGAAGGTACTTTGAAGTTAAGGTTACAGTAGCCTCAGAAGAACAACTCTTAAAAATACGAAAAAAAATATATCCATAAAAAACTAACGTATTTTGCAGCAAATAAAATTAAAATGGAAATATTCAGTAAAAAAAAACTACGTCAACGTATATATGAAGCTATAGATATATATTATAACGAAGATTTTATATCAACAAAAAACATCTGCAATGACTGAATAAAGGTTCGACTCACAATGATTCAGTTAGCGACGTCTGGTTCGAAACGCTTATTCGATCGTAAATATGGATAAAAACGTGAACATTACTGTAAATGATGAGGAAACAATATGTAAAATAAACAAGAAATAGTTAGCACTGGAGAAATATGGAAATATCCCACAAATCACAATTTATTTCGCAACTTAAACTGAAGATTACTTGAGTACTATTGAAAAGATTTAGTTGTGATGATCAAGGGTGTTCATAATTCAATACTGTTTCACTCGGTCATCTGGGGTTCATACTATAACAAGAGGTGTGCGTGTGTGATCATTGTGAATCTTGTGATGGT